TGATTATTACACATTCCATGCAGATATCAAAATATCACATGTATATCATAAATCTATATGTATTATGTATCCATATTACAAACAAAAATTTTTAAATTAACATATAGTATTACATTATTAATCTAGACAGCTTCTGCACAGCAATGGAAACAAGCAATGGAGTGAAGAAAGGAGCCAAGAAAGAATGGGAAAAAATATTCACAAATTATCCATGCAACAAGAGATTAATAGCCAGAATATCTATATAAAAAACTAAAACAATTCAATAGTAAAAAAAAAACACAAATAATCTGATTTTAAAATTAGCAAAATATCTAAATAGACATTTCTTAAAATAAGACATGCAAATGGTAAACAGGCATATAAAAAAAATTCTTAGCATTACCAATCATCAGGGAAAGGCAAATCAAAACTGCAATGAGATATCATCTCACCTAAACAACCACAAAAGAAACACAACAAATACTGGCAAAAATGAGCTGAGAAAGAAATGTTATTACACTGTTGGTGAAACTGTAAATTAGTGCAACCATTGTAGAACAGCATGGAGGTTCTGAGTAAAGCAAAAATAGAACTACCATATAATTCAACAATCCCACTGCTTGATATATCCACAAGAAAGGAAGTTGATACATCAAAGAGATACCTACACTCTGATTACTGAAGCACTTCTCACAATAGCCAAGATTTGTAAGCAACTTAAGTATCCATCAATGGATGAATGGTTAGAGAAAATGTGATATATATGCACAATAGAATCTTATTCAATCATGAAAAAGAATTAAATCCTGTCATTTGCAGAAATATGGGTGGAACTAGAGGTCATTATTTAAGTGAAATAAGCCAGGCATAGGAAGACAAATGTCACACGTTCTCACTCATATGTGGAAGCTACAGAAGTGGATCTCATGGAAGTAGACAATAGAAATGTGGTTACAAGAGGCTGGGAAAGGAAGAGGAAAAGAGAGAATCAAGAGAGGTTGGTTAATGGGTACAAAAATAAAAATGAGTTAGATAAAAAAATGAGTTCTAGTATTCAATAGTAAGGTAGGGAAATTACAGTTAAGAATAATTTAACTGCATATTTTAAAATAGCTAGAAGGGAAAAATTGTAATGCTCTCAACACAAAGAAAAGATTAATGAGGTGATGGATATCTCAATTACATTGATTTGATCATCACACATTTTATACATGTATCAAAATATCACATGTATCCCCAAAATATGTACAATAATGATATATTAGTAAAAATACCAAAAAAAATGAGTAAAGAATGCAAGGGTGCCTGTCTGCATGTACTTTATAGTCTTGACTCTGCTGCCAAGCAGAGAGATGAAACAGGCAGAGGTGGCTCCTTGAGTCTTTCTGAGACTCAGAGCATATAGTTTTTTCTTTGTTTAATTAAGGAATATGAATTAGATAAGATTCACAGAATTCAATCTACAAATACAAAAAAAAAAAAAAAGAAAGAAAGTCCCAAGGTATCTCATTATGTGAAGAGTATCTCATTGTATAAAGTGAGCTTTTTCCAAGGACTTCCCTAGGGAAAATCTTGTTCGTATCACCTCTCAGGACCTCAGTCTTTTAGGAATTCCTCATAGAAAATTATTCAGATCAGTGTTGGTGCTTGAAAAATAATTGTTTACCCCATCCAAGAATACAGCAAGAGTCTGAAATGAAACTTGCTGCAAAGCCCTGTTTTGCTCAGCTGTCAGGAGAGATGATTGAGAATCACCAGGATTCAACACCTACTTGCAGATATACAGCTTAGCCCTCTGGATGTCTATTGTACTTGGTGTGAGAAAAAAACTCATCCTAAGACTCCAGGTAAAAAGGAAGGCGCTAAAGTGACCAAGAAAGAAAGGTTCTGAAGGGAATAAGAACCTCCCAAACTAGAAATCTTGTCTGTCCTAGAAGAAACCCAAATCTTTACTTTTATAACCCACAGTCTATTTGAGAGAAGAGATTTTTCTTTTTCCCTTCTCTAGAATTCTCAGCCTTTGAAATATTACTACTGGGCTGTTCTTGAGGGGGGACAGTTTAGGTGCTGAGAGTCCCAAAAAACAAAAAGTATTATTGTAGCTCAAACTATCTACCCCTTTTCAACTACTAGGATTTCCCTGTCCTGTAATCATTCAGTCATTTCACCACAGGTGTTCTCTTCCTCTTTTGCTTTTTTCATGATCTCTTCTTGGTGAAACCTCTGGACTCACAAGACACTGCCTAACATGCAAGACAGAGCTTCCTAAAATTGGCCACTCATTGTCTCAGAAATAGGGGGAAACCAAAGCTTGGTGAGTACAACGTTTGGTGTATGTATGCTATAAGCACCAGTACAGTAGTCTTCAGAGGTATTGATAAACACGAGGGGTAAGAATGAGAACAAAAAACAGGGTTGCAGATTGAGGGTCTATTCCTATTTCCACTGGAATAAGAGCAACTACCCTTCATGCTCTCCCATGTGCATACCTCATGTTCCTCCTTATTACATACAAGATGTGTCCATTCCAAAGAGATCACCTAGGTGGACCAACATCAACTGTGCCTTCCAAATTTCATACTGTGCTCTAGATAGGATGAATAGTGCCTAGGAACATTTCAGTGTGTGTATGTGACAGCGCCTTGTGCAAGGAGGAGTCCATTCATTCCTGGATGCATTCAGTGATTCATTCATTAATTCAGTCACACATGGAACATTTCTTGAAAACGTACTACATACCTGGGAATTCAGACGTACAGAGTGAGGCAGAGTTACTACCCTTTGAAACTTAGAGTTATGTCAGGGAGACAGTGTCATAAATAATCATGGATAATTTAATAAGTATATTTTAAAAGTATATAGTTTTATACATATATCAAAACATATCCATTTCTACACATTAAATATGCACATTTTATTGCATAAAAGTTCACCATAATGAAGCAGTAAAAAAGATGTACTTATCAAAAATTGTTGGAAATGGGGTCAGTAATGAATTATTCCATATGTCCTTAAGAACATTTGACTTACAGTGGTATTCTTTTTAAAGTTGTTGACAATAACTCTTAATCAGGAACACAGTTTACATTGTAACTCAGTGTACACACACACAAAAAAATTGAAATTAATACTTTCTCATAACTATGCACATATTGTAAGAATCAGTATTTTTTTCTTCTTCAAATTTTAATAAATACTGCTGTTACCTCACTAAATCTGTCTCATTAACCATGAATGCGTTATAAGTCAGTTTCAAAAATACTGACTTAAGCAAGAGGTTATGTTGGCTTTTGATGTCAGAATTTATCACTGATTCTCTTGTATCATGTCCTTAGAGTGAAGCTAAAGGGAAAATCTTTCTCATTTAATTTTACCAATCCCTCAAAGTGTTCCCTGCCTCTGCCTTCCTAGTCCCTCAAAGCCAATAGACCCTCCTGCAGGTTGGACCCTCCTGTAGGTTCAGGATGGATCCAATTCAGATCCAGTCTTCATGGGAATGCATGATTAGAAACTTCACTGTCACTCAGTAGTCTTGAAGCTAAGTCATATTTGACAGCTCATGTGCCAGTGCTCCAGCCACATCTCACATTTCTCCTATACTGCCAGCTAGACATAGAAACTTCTGTGTGAAAACAAACTCTAATATGTTTGTCATCTTTGATTCTTCCATTTCCAGAAGGTCCTGCCAGGAGGACTGAATTTCTACTTTGATACCTTGTTCATTCTAAAAGGTAGCTCAATCCTTTCTAGGGATATCTGATTCCAGCTGTGAGTCCCAGCCATTTTCCCCTGACCCTGCTACCTTTCCTAACTCTTTCTGATTTATTTACCCATTATTTTGGATTCACCCTTCATTAGCTTAGATTCAATATTTCTATCCAACATAGGGATGGAAAAATTATAAAATCAAATGTGTTCAACATTTACAAGAGATTTTTAGATCAAACATCTGTTCTTCCAACAAGATCTTCACTTTCTGTATTTGGTGCAGTAGTAGTCAACATTTGACTGATTGTTCTAATTATGCTCTATTACGCTACAGTAGAAAAATCTACTGTATTCCTTGTTTACTGCTGACATACAGCAAAGTATAGACTTGGAATAGTGTTTCCTGCCTGGCTTCAGAGCACTGGACCAGTGCCTGGTTTCCTATCAATGCACGCATTCAACTGGTTGAATATTCTGCATCAAACCTCAGCATGAATGAGATCAAACACTGTTATGCCAGATAAGATATTGCAACTATGCAGTAGTTGCAGCTGCATTTGGTCTTCACAAAGGGCCCTTCCTACCACAGTGTGTGGTGCTGCCTAGATGTGGCCACTTGTCCACTGTCTGAGATCTATGACAATAAGGTCTCTTCATACCTTGCTCTTGTAAACTAGCATCACCATGAAGGATAGTTTTTCTTTCCAATAAAGAATTTAGGAAAGCATCAGGACTAAGGGTCAATAACATGATCAAAAATAACTTCTTAAATTTCTTTTTCTTGCTTAGAAGGATAATAGAGAATTCATTGGAAACAACAGAAAAGTTGATTATTGGTCTCTCCTATTTGATGGAATTAAAGAAAAAATCTACTGTATTATAAGTAAACTAGAAAATAAAAGACAACCTGAGATTTCTATTAAAGGGAGAAATCGTTATATTTTTTCAAGTCATTATAATATATGTGCATCCTTTTTCTTTAGTTCAAATAACATACAATTTTCTAAGAAGACATTTTTTGACATTAGCCACACAACTGTTGAACAGTGACTCTATGGATGATAATGTTTTGCCAGCAAGGAGCAACAAGAAGGCATATTCCTGAATTCTCCATACCTACCAACCGCATGACTTTAGTAGAAATATAAGGATAGAAAAATTATAAAGTCAAGTGTGTCCAATGTTTACAAAAATTTTCTGAATCAGAACATCTGTTCTTCCAATAAAACCTTCACTTTCTGTATTTGGCACTCCATCATAGTCAATGTTTGATTGTACTAATTATGCTAACTTATAGACAGGAATAAATAATGGGCAAAGAAAACCAAACCTATCTTACTGAATTCATCTTGCTGGGCTTTTCTTCTGATCATCGAACCCAGATCCTCCTGTTTGTGATATTTCTCATCATCTACTTGTTGACTGTGTTTGGGAATCTGCTCATCATACTCCTAATTCACATTGACTCTCGACTTCACACACCAATGTACTTCTTCCTTAAAAATCTGTCATTTACTGATCTCTGTTTCTCTACAACCATTGTTCCCCAGATGCTATCCCATTTGCTCATCATGAGAAAGACCATTTCTTTTACTAGGTGCTCAATTCAAATGCTTTTCTTCCTAATAGCAGGGTGTACAGAGAGTTCACTTCTAGCAGTGATGTCCTATGACCGCTATGTGGCTGTCTGCAAACCCCTGCACTATTCCACTCTCATGACCCAGAGAATTTGTGTTCAGCTGGTCATGGGGTGCTGGGCCAGTGGAGCATTTGTGTCTTTAGTAGATACCACATTCACTTTATGTCTCCCATATCAGGGACAGAATATAATTAATCATTATTTTTGTGAGCCTCCTGCCCTCCTAAAGCTGGCTTCAGGGGATACCTACAGCACAGAGATGACCATATTTGCAATGGGTGTTGTAATTCTCCTGGGTCCTGTGTCTCTCATCCTTTTCTCCTACTGGAATATTATCTCCACTGTGATTCAAATACAGTCAGAAGAGGGGAGGCTAAAGGTTTTCTCTACCTGTGGATCTCATTTCATTGCTGTTTTCTTCTTCTATGGGTCAACAATTTTTACCTACATGCAACCTAATTTGAAGCAAATGAATAAAGGGGATAAGGTGGTCTCAGTGTTCTACTCAGTCATAACATCAATGATGAACCCTTTCATTTATAGCCTAAGGAACAAGGATGTGAAGGAAGCATTTAGGAAAGTATTTGGAAAATAGTGTCTCTGAGGCAGTAGTCTATATTGGTATGTAATCAGAGGGCAGAGACATTCTAAAATGGTTTAACGTCTTTAACAGCTTTTTTCCCTGAACAATCTCTAGTCTGAGACATCAGCAAAAGTCATACAGGTGCCCTTGCATCCCTAGAAATATTTTCAGATTTGTCTAATGCAGCCTTGCTCAAGCTTATTTACTGTGGCTGCAACTCACTTACCTCATAACAGCTTTTTTGGCTAGTATATGAAAGAATATTTTTAACAGTGAAGACAATCTTTTACATGTGGTGCCTTACAGTGCACCAATCCATGTTCACCTAGGGATGTCCCCTTCTGTCTCTAAACTCCACAGCTGCTTCCTAGACTCATAGCATGCCAACATCATCTATAGCTGTCCATTGCTTTTTGTGAAGTGGGAAAAGTAGGGAGGTACTTTATTGTTTTCCTGGAAGTAGTTTAAATGTGGAGTTCACTTCTCACTTCATGATCTCCTCTTGATGTATCTACAATAAAACAATTATGGGTGAAGAATAACATGAGCCATAGAAAATGGGTTGGCTTTGATATGAGTCAAATTTGCTACTTTGACTTCTAGCTGCTATAGCTTCAATGCCCATGGCCTGTCCTTACTTTCCAGTATTGTTTATTCTATGTGATGGTATCCTTGCTGAATTGAATTATTGTATATAGAACAACTCTGCATGGGAAAATAAATGTGTGCAATAAATACTTCACTATATACACATGAGGTATACTATTTTCAGATTATGTGGACTAACATGTTAATACAAAAAGAAGCAGATCTTTGACGAAATTGGCATTCTGTTTTCATCAGACTCTGAACTATCTCTAAATGCTGGATAATGAAAGTTGGACTTAAGAACTGCAAAAATGCAAGGTGATGTAATTTGGACTTGTGTCCCCACCCAAATCTCACATCAAGTTGTAATCTCCAGTGTTGGAGGAGGGGCCTGGTGGGAGACGATTGGATCATGGGGATGCTTTCATATGGTTTAGCACCATCCCCCTAGTGCTGTCTTATGACAGAGTTCTCAAAAGATCTGCTTGTTTAAAAGTGTGTAGCATCTCCCTGCACCCCTCCTCCTGCTCCCGCCATGTCAGATGTGCTCACTTCCCCTTCTCCTTCTACCATGATTCTAAATTTTGGTGATGCCTCCCCAGAAGCAGAAGCCTGCACAGCCTGCAGAACCATATGCCAATTAAACCTCTTTTCCTTATACCAAATACCCAGTTTCGGGTATTTCTTTAAAGCAGCACATGAATGGACTAACACACAAAGCTAATAATGCAAAGGCTAATAATGTACCTAAAATATGTGAATTAATACACATTATAAATGGATATTTCTAAAGTATTAAGCAGAATTTTAGGGTCAATGTGTGGTTTTCTGTAGATATACATAGAAATATATGTATATATATAGCCTGTAATATCAAATATGGCATATGAAAAATCAAAGCTGAGTATTGTTTTATTGCAGTATAAGAAAGCAGATAATAAAGCCTATTGAAATCATTTTATTTCAGTGCTTATCTATCAAAGACCTTTCTTGATTAGTCATTTAAGTATCTAAACCTACCACACTGGTAACTTGCCTACTGCTAGAAGCAATTTTATACCCTACAACGTTCAATATGTTGCCCTCTGTGCCATCAAAGGGAATAAAGACTATCTAAAGATTAGGTAATAATGAATATTAGGACAGAAAAAGTCAGTCTGTTTTTGCAAATATAATGGTCAGTCCAAAATTCTGTAGTCATCTGCATATTGTCTCATGAAAGGTGGGTTGGTGGGCAGATAGTGTCAAATAGTGGCATGCTGGCTTTTAAAACAATGGCTACTACCTATTAAAAAAGACTAAGACTGTGAAACAGTTTTGAAATGAAGATGACTCTACAAGAGGGTCTTGACATGGGGCATGCCAAAGAGAATTATCATGCACACATAAACTTACAAAACTGCTTACAGAAGAAATGCTATACATTGATTTAGTCAGATTATAACATTTCTAACCTAAAGCTCTGGTCAATTGTCAGTATAACCAATACCAGCACTTTTGGTTTTATCAACCTTCAGATTTGTTGAGTGGTAAAGTTGAAAATTCAAAAAGTAGGCAATGTTTGTTCCACAGATGGCAGGTTGTGGGAAAGATATCATGTGCGTCACAGATGATGGAAGGACTGTAGTGGTCCGCAAAGTCCATCTCAAGGGGCAATCACGCCCCTTGGAGATAGAAGAAAAATTGTGTCCAACTGTTCAAAAACTGCAACTAGCGTGCCATTCTAGTTTTATAAATAGAAAGATCACTAGGTTTTCAGCCTAAGGAGGCATTAAAACAAAATCTTCAAAAATCATAACAAAGGTATAATATTCCCTTGAAATTCATACTGCACATTTCTGCTTGTGTTATAAAAACCAATACTATAAATAAGTGCTACTCAAAGTGTGATCCATGAGCTGGTATCTTTCTATGAACTGCAAGTAATGTATATGCTTTACAAAATATTGGTCCAGCTGGGCACAGTGGCTCATGCTTGTAATCCCAGCACTTTGGGAGGCCAACGTGGGTAGATCACGAGGTCAGAAGTCTGAGACCAGCCTGGCCAACATGGTAAAACCCCGTCTCTATTAAAAATACAAAAATTAGCCAAGCATGGTGGTGCATGCCTGTAATCCCAGCTACTCAGAAGGCTGAGGCAGAAGAATCGCTTGAACCCAGGAGGCAGAGGCTGCAGTGAGCCAAGATCACACCCACTGCAGTTCAGCCTGGGTGACAGAGTGAGACTTGGTCTCAAAAAAAAAAAAAAAATTATCAGTCTTTAGTGTATGAAAAAATTCAAAAATACAAAAAGAAGAAAACTAGCTCTGCACTACAGATCTTTTGAGAAGCAGTGTTATAAGTAACAGCAGCTACTCTTAGACATTCGACTGTCTCATGACCACTCTCTCTTTTCTTGCCATTAAGTAATAAGGAAGTCATATAACATAATTGGAATAATCAATGAAAAAGTGCTCATGGATCACTCTGAATTTATAAAAAATTGTATACCTTGTCACCAACAAAAAACTAGTGGAGTCGACAAGGTAAGAAAACACAAATAGTGGCAGTAACTTTTAAATGAAAGCACCAACTTCTGACTAGATGCCAGACCGTCAGTGACTGCGCAGCAGTGTCTAGATAAATGTATAGCACTTGAGACACTAACAAATTACCATAGTTACATTGTTCTGGGAAACACCCATGTTTTCTAGAACAAACATTTTTTCACACTTTAAAGGTAATAAATTTTCTTTCACTTATGCCACAGTTTGTATGACCATTACTTTTGTATTTAATCAACTCATATAATATCAATTTTAGTAACAGATTGAGTCCATCTAATTTATTTATTAATCTTCTGGATGCTAAATATATAGCAATGAACTATGGTTGCAATTCCTTCTTTTCCAGAACTTACATTTTGAAAGAGGGTGATACAAAATAAACAAATAAGCATGACGCATAATATGTCTGATGTTAATAAGCGCTATGAGAAACTAAAAACAAAGGAAGGTGGATTGCAATTTTAATTAGGTAGAAAGGCTACCTAATGGTTAAAGGACGTCTTACATTCAGAGAAATTAACATTTGTGCTGTGACCAAAAGGTGGAGAACAAAGAACCAACCAAGGAAAGATTTGAAGGAAAAGGGTGCAGACAGAATAGGGAGTCTAACAGCTTGCATAAAAATACGATGTTTAAGATCAAGGCAGAGGAAGGTGTGTCTGGAGGCTGAGTGACAAGAGAGTGGTAATGAATGTCACCGAAACAGGCAGAGGCCAGACCTGTAGGTCTTACGTATTAGTTTCCTACAGCTCCCATAACAAGTTACCACAAACTCTGTGGCTTAAAACAACAGAAATGTATCCTCTCAGTTCTAGAGGACAGACGTCTGCAGTCAATCTATTTACAGTCTCTGCTCCCTCCAAATGTGGTCCTTCCTCTTCCAGCTTCTGGTGGCTTCTAGTCAATCTATTTATAGTCTCTGCTCCCTCCAAAGGTGGTCCTTCCTCTTCCAGCTTCTGGTGGCTTCCTTAGCTTGTGGCAGCATAACTTCAGTCTTCACCTCTTCATGTCACCTTCTTCCCTTTGTCTCTATCTTCCTTTCTTCTTATAAGGATGCCTGACATTGGATGTAGGCCCCACCCTAATCCAGGATGATCTCATCTTGAGATTTGCCTTAATCACATCTGCAAAGATATTTATTACAAAGATGGTCACATTCAGAGCTTCCAGGTGAACTTATCTTTTTAGGTAACACAAACTAAACCATGGCAGCCTTGGGAGTTCCAAAAAAATGATTGATTTTATGTTCAGTGGAAACCCAACATGATACTATATCTTGGAGGGTCACTTTGAGTGTTGTAATGAATTGTGGAGACAAGCGTGGAAGCAGGAAAATCAATCAGTGAGGTTGGCTCTCTTGCAGTAGCCCAGGTTAGAGATGATGGACTGAACTAGGATTGTAGCAATAGAGAACCAGAGAAGATACCAAGACATGAGTATATAGGATGTGCAAAGTGAAAAAATAGAGGATAGAAATATCCTTGCTAAGTCTTTGGCCTGAGCAATGCTGTGGATTCTGGGGAAGACTAAAAAGGAAGACTCCGGAAAAATCAAGAATTTTCCTTTGGACATGTTTATATGGTCCTGTGTTGTGTGCTGATTTAGTTTTCACATTGTTCTTCGTTATTTTGATAGATACAATAAAGCCTTCATTTAAACAGTCATAACATCCTGGACTGCACCATGTACCTCTAGTGTGTTTCCCCCATTAGCAGAAGACAATTAGAGCATTTTGAGTACAAATGCTGACAAGAGTTCTGAATTCACTGGTAGTTCTTAGTTTGGCAGGCATCATCCAGATGCAGAATATACTTACATCAGTTACCTTTTACATTATCATCATTACTGAAACCTCTATTTAAAAAATTGTGACAAAGT